TTTTCAAGATGCTCAGAGTGAGCCTCTTGGGCTTGGGGACATGCCGATCCCCTCGTTTGGGGGGCGCCTAGCTCAGAAGTTGGGTGCGGAACTAGCTGATGGAAGCAATGCATGGCGCAATGCCGCAGAGTTATTTAATGTCGAGAGCACGTTTGACCCCTGTTTTTTTCCGCAAGAAATCATCATGTGTGGTGAGTATAGCTCTTGTTGAATGCTTCTTGGACTGCTTCTTGGCTCCAAAACAGGGGTCAAAGATAGTTCTTTGGTTAGTTATAGATGGCTAGGTTTACGGAGGTGTTGCACTCGTGCGAGAGTGACTTTTGTTGCTGATCTCTGATTGAGGGACTGGATGATCTCCGATGTCCCTGTGACTTGGGGCAGTCTCTAGGGTAGGCCCTTCTCCTTGTTCCTTCTCTTCGAGAGCATTTGGACGTGGCTCCAAGATTACCGCGGCCTTTGACCAAGCAGTCTGGATGACATATTTCCAGCCAGGCTTCTCCAAGCGCAAGACTTCTCCCCAAAAGCATCGCCAAAGCCATCGATCTCGCCGATGCTGTGCATCTCAACATCCGTGCGATGAAGGACATTTTTCACGGAGAAGGGTCGAAGTGGACTGCCCGGGAGGGGCGATGGGCCGCGCCAGATGGTCCACATCGCGCCGGCCTTGCGTGGCGTGTGTGGCGAAGAAAAAGGTGTTTGGGAGGATTGGGCGGCTTCCCAGGATGTGATGCGAACCTCAACAGATCTGAGCGAATTATTGCGAGCTCACTTCGCGAGGTACGAGGTAGAATAATTTCAAAACAAAATTATGCGAGGTAAGTCCAGCACCAGGATTCTTGACGTCTCAGGCCCTAGCCAGGCCTACTGGGTAAGGAACCTGTGCTGAGCAGCTCAAATAGGCAAGCCCCAAGAAACAATTCTATTTTGGCGAAATAGGATTTCATGATTGGGGATTGGTTTGCAGCCTTGTTGATGTTGTCTTAAGCCCTAGCCAGCCCCACTAGGTCAGGAAACTGTGCTGAACAGCTC